AAAAAATAAAAATTATTTTAATAAATAAATACTTACTTTTTTTGATTGATCGTTGTAAATAATCTAAAATAAAAAATAAAATTTATTTAAATAAATTAATACTTACTGTTTGATTTATCATTGGAAACAATCTAAAAATAAAAAATTAGAATAGGCGAAATTAAATGCTTTCATATCATCGAATTTCATCGGATCCAACGATTTCCACCTATCGGATGTCATCGGATCCGACAATTTCTGACTATCGGATCTCATCGGATCCTGTCGCCGGAATCCAACAGAATCCGACAATATCCGACGTCGGAAATTAACGGATAACGAAGGTTTCCGACCGTCGGAATCCCATCGGATCCGACTGTCGGAAAATGTCGGATAATCACGGATCCGATAGGATCCGGCAGGGTGAGTTCGCCCTGGGTGCCTTTCAATGCTGTCTGGGCAATTGTAGTGGAATGGAAAGGCGAATGAAGTTTTTTTATACAACTGTTGTGACGATAGAGTAATATCAATTTTTCTTCTGGAATTGTCAATCCTTGTAATTCAGAAGGTACGTCACCTAACCACATATTGTTGACGGCTGAGAATTTAGGAATTTGTCCCTTCGACAGAGAAATATGACATTTTTGGCAAAGTGTGAACATGTTCACCTTGTTTTGTTGAAATAATCCATTGGTATATAAAACAACACCACTATCATAATGAAATGATGAAGAATCGAAAGTTGAAGGAACTAGAATAGTCAAAGATTCTATATAATGTCTCAAATTACAGTAATCATATGTTACTTTGAATATTATGAAGAATCGCTGCGCTGTTGCTGTCTAAATGTTGTGATAACGATGACGGGCCATTGGTAATTAAATTTTTGAGCTCATCAGAAACTTTAAGTAAATGGATATTAGGAGTTTTTGAGAGTGGCACTTTTTTTGACTGTTAAATTTGAGTGCGAACGTTGCAAATTGCACTAGTAGCTTCAGCCAGTACTGGCATGGGCATCTGTTGAAGAAACTGTTGCAAACTGGTCTCTTTTAATTCACGAGGAATCGATTCAGACCAAGAGGAATAATTTGATTCGTTCTTTTGCTGTATGGTGTTTTCATTTGTGCTGCTATTATTCCAAGATGCTTCTTCTTCCGTTCCACTAAATTGCATTTCGATATTTTGTCGATGAATGTCAATGTTGTCAAATGTGTGTTTTTCAAGTTTCTTTTTCGCTCTGTTTGTTTCGCTTCTTTTCCTTTGCTTCTCAAGTCGAATTTGACGTTGTTCTGCTGTTTCATTCGGTTGATTCCGTGTTTTTTACTATTCAAGGCGAAGCTGACGATGTTGTTCTGTTTCATTTGATCGACGAGGTTGATCTCGACGTTTTTGCTTTTTAAGCCGAATTTGACAATGTTCAGTTGTTTCGTACATTCGGCTAGACCGAGCTCGTTCTTTTAGTACATCAAGCCGCACTTGACATTGTTCTTCTATGCCACTTTGACTTTATTGTAGTACACTTGAACTGATTGATTGAGTGGAGTACATCCCCATATTATCGATACGTCGACAGCTGCTAGGAGAACATTCAAATTCAGGACTTTGTATTCGACTAGGAGTATTATTCTTAAACGTTTTCTTTTCAGGAGTCTAAATAAATTTCAAAATTTCTAGAGAAGCAGTTACACATAAACAACTTACGGCAAACTTTGGTGATTTATTTCCATATTCAGATGTCTAATGCACTGCTGATGATAGAAGAGGAACAAAATGATTGGGACTCCATACATTATTATTTGAAGCTCGTGCATCTATTTCGTTCAAGATGTGAGATCATAAAATTGTGATGTCACAGTTGGCAATGACAGGTGGAGATTGTGTAAAGAGGTTATTCATAATTGTCAGATCTTCTCGAAAATCAATTTCTGGATAGATACTTCGCATATTACATTTAAGTACGTTGCATAATGCACTAATTTCATACAAATCTGAAAATGTATTATTTTTGCACATAGCCTTGATAATAAATGCGACAGATCCAACGAATTGTGAACACATGCAATCATAATAAGTTTCATTTGTCATAAGTTCGATAATTGTTCGAACTAAAAATTATATTAAAATAGATTGTACAATCATGTAGACGAAAAATAAATCTATGTACCGCGCAATTCATCTGTCGTCACCGTTGGATTATTCATCAAAAGAAGAGTTGAATGGTATAAACAGTTTCTCTCAGCAGCACCTTCGACCGGAATAAAATGATGTACATCACTAGTCGTCTTCTCAAGATATTTTTTAGCAGTTGCATCCACAATGTGTTTGGTTTCATCGAAAACTTGATTTGGATGAAACTGAATTGGTGCCATAATTGATTCAATCTACAATATTTTCTTTATAATTTAATTAGAACCGTAGTAGACTTACCTGTCGAATTCGCTACACGACAGAAGCGATTCCATCATAATAAACAATACTTTCAGAACATTGTTCCAAAAGCTGAAGCAACCTTGCAAATTTTTGACTACGATTCATTTGATTGCATTGTAAGCAAGAATTACTCGAACACAATACCGAACAGAATATACACCGTGTGCTCATCTTTAGTTTAATGAAAACTTTTCGAATTATTATCTACAATATAGCACATATCAATAAAGAAAATCAACTTCTTTAGAAAATATAATTAAATATTGTTGATAAAGATAAAATCTGCTCTTTTACAAGATAATGCAACAAAAAAAATAATTTGATTTTAGCATTTGTATGATATTTGGGTCTGATTTAATCTGATAAATTTTGACTAAGATTATTCTTAGTTTTTCGGAAAAAATCTTAAAATTTGATTCTTCAATCTTGCAAAAACATTATTACCTTGTTTATTTATTTTTATATTTTTAGACTAAAGCTTTTCGTCTCTTTTTATTCACTGTTGAGAACCATTTGATCTACGTTTCTATCTTATTGAAAAAACTCATTTTCTTAAAGCTAAAAAACATAATTTATTTGTCTCAATGTCTTATTTTACCTAAACTATAGCTAAGAAAGTTATTCCAAATATAAATCGAAAAGAAAAAGATGAAATCAACAGTGAGATGTAGTGACTTCCAATCTTTTTCACTTAAAAATCTACAAATTTATTTTAAACATTTATACATGTGGTTATACTAATACTTTTCTGACACGATAATATGGATCCATAGAACCTCCAGGGCATCAATTTTCAAGAATCAACTTAGATTAACCCATCTCGTTATCGATCATAGTGCATCGAGAGTCAGATTTCCAAAACATCAAGAAAAAATACAAACCAGTGGGACCTGTAAACTCTAAGCTTTTCTTTATTAAAATGTCCAAATTCTTAGGTCAAACTCCATCAACATGTAGGAGACAGGTTAACAGATATTCATAATTACACACAACAATCAAAAACAGATTGCAAAAACGAATGTTTTTCTTTGCTTCTTGAATTTAATTCAAGATGATTTAATTGTTGCACATTACTATTATTATCATTTAATAATGGTGGTGGAACATTTTGACCAACTTGTTGTTTATTTTTATCATTATTAATAACTTGTCTTATTCATTTGATATTATAACATTTGATAAATTTGTATTCGCATCAAATACATTTAAAATTTTATTGTTTCCAAATCAAATATAATTGCTGCAAGATCATGGTGCATCTAAGATCGATTCATGCTAAAGCAAAAAAAAAATACAAACCTAAATGTACATAACTGCTAATTTTTCTTTCAACTAACTTACTCTATTTAACGATCATGTTAACATAATACATTGGAAGATGAGGATGTGCCATATACATGACATTACAAGCTACATTTTTCTGTCTCAATTCTCAGTTAATGTAGACTCATATTCATTTATGTTTGTAGAAGTCAATATATGATTATTATGATAGGTATATGCTAGTCAACAAACAGATTTGAAACGTGTGAAGTTTTTCTCTTCCAATTCTATATTAATCTGCGCGCATATAAAGGTAGAGCAAATTGGTTTTATTAGAAACAATGGTGAACAAAAACATGCTACATGGATTACACAATGTTCTGCTTACATGAATATTCACAAAAATAACAAAACACTTTAGCATTTAATGAGAAGAAACATATATGCATATCAATACAATATGTAAATTTTTCATCATTAAAACTATCAGACCAACGAATAGTCGAAGTCCAGAAAATATTTAATGTAAATATCTACATGATGTTCTGTTTATTTCTTATTTTCAAGTGCTATATAAGTTGATATATTCTTTTATGTAAGAAAATCCGCAATTTAAAGATGTGCATTCCACAAAACTTATCAATTTAGTCACATAATATTCAGCTGATCTGTTTTTCAATCTGAAATTAAAAAATAATCAGATAACGTTTGTTTTTTTTAATTCCCATGCAAGATCTTTTTTTAAAATTTAACGATTTAATGGAAAAATATTTTACATTCTTGATAAAAAAAAACGCCTTAGAATATTGATATTAATGAAATTCCGGGATAATTTCTCATTAAAATGAAATTAAAGCGAAATATATGTAATTCGTGATACTTCGTTACCATAAATATTTTTACGCATCTTCATGATAAGAAAGGTGACATCTTTTTTTGTTAAATCGTTAAGGAAATTTTACATAGGAGATAGCGAGTAAAATAATCTTTTTTTTTTAAAGAAATAGTTTTTTTTAAGTTCAATATTTCGATCGATAGAAACTCGATTACAAGATATTGGCTTTATGGCTTTCGAATCCAAAGTTTAATGATTTGACCTTTTCATTAAAAAAAGCGATAATTTAAATATATTAGTTTTGATGAATCTGTTAGATGAGTTATATAATTTTCCTTCTAATATTTTAAAATGTGAAATCATATGTCATATTTATATCGACACTTTTTCAAATTATCAAATAAAATTGGTCGTTTTTCCAGGAAAAACAGTTTTATAGCTTATAATCGTGTCCGTTTTGTGTCTCTTGTAAAATAATAATGTAATATTTAGTTAACTGTTATTACATACGAAAAAATGACTATAGTGTGGACATTTTTTCTTTATCAAGTTTCCAAAAACGAAAATGTAATATTTTTATTGTTTATTTTTTCAAGTACAAAAATAATATTTTTTTTCACGAGAAAGCGACTTTTTTATGAAAATATTCCTTTTTCAAACCTATAGTATAAATTGTATTATATTTAATTAATTTTTTTTGGACATAAAGTAACAAGGTGCGCCGAATCATTATCTACAACAAGGAAGACCATCATGTTATTACTGATAACAGGATGACGAATATTTCAATGGATCAAGTGAGTATCATCATCATACCTAATAATAATAGGTTTTCTATTTTATTTTCATCACCTTGAATATTCAACCATAATCCTTCCTTAAAAATAAAAAAGGAGAAACATGGTTTGTGCAAGATAAATAGGGTGTGAGTGTGGGTGTGGGTGTGGTTTTGGACTTCACTTTAAGTCACACACCCACACCCAGCCACCCTCGGATATAAATGTTTGAATAAGATTATGCTGCATTTTGTCATTATTCGTACCATCAGGAAATTGAAAAATTATCCTACAACTGATTTCGAATCGTTTTTGATCGAAAAATTTATCAGTGCATTTACGGCACATGTTAAAAGTGATTTCAAAGAAATATAATTTAGACATAAAAATATCTAATGTTCGACATTGGGAGAATCCTTATAACTTCGTCGCAACAAGAGGTATAGAGCCTGGGATGGTCTCAAATTAAAGTCAATATCAAAGTGCATTTTTCCTCCGACAGAATTTTTAAACTCGCTATCGTTCATTTTTTAGGATTATTTTAAGAAACATGTCTTGAAATCAGTTTTAAAAGCGACGATCCAACGGCCCTGAATCCTAGTTTTTTTAAGCCAGAAACAACTATAAAAAAAACTGGCCGATGAAAAGTTTACTCTCATTCCGACCTTCAAAACAAAATAAAATATTGATTATAGTTTGAACCGGGTGGAAGTTATTCCAATTTTCCTGCATGGAAACCATGTTTTGAGAAAAACGCTAAAGAAGTTTTAGAAATGAATTTTTTTCAAATCTTTTTCGTTTACATCCAGAAAACATTAAAACAAGGTTTTTAAAATAGCCAGTATTCCGGAAACCATATAAAAATATGATCCTTATCTTGAGTGTTAGAACACCTAATAATTAATGTGATAATGTTTTATCAATGTTTATACAAATGGAAAGTTAGGCTTTTACAAAACTGAAAACTCTATAAAACCTCAAAGGATTCTCTGAAAACATATGACAAGAGGGACCAAGACTTTTCCAATAAATCTGTCAAAATCTAGGCGTTTTGCGGAAAACTATATATATATTCTGAAAGAAGAGTCTTCGAGACATCATACTATGATAAAAACTCAACTTCACATTTTTTTCGAAAAATTGGATTATTTAAGGAAGCCTGATTAAATAAAAGTAGACAATACTGGCACTTCGAGAAAGACACGAATAACTCTTTCAAAAGTTTAATAAAAAAAGAAACAAAAGTGCATGATGTGACCGATGCATATATAAATATATCAGGACTCGTTTGGAAAACTATGAAATATTTTCTATGAGAGAAAAATCAAAAAAATTCCCTAACTGCTAATAACTTTACTAAATTTTCTCCGACCGACTGGTTGTGCACGCGAGTAGATTCTGCACATTTGCTAGCGTGGCCGCCTTCGGCGGCGAAATCTCTCAGAGCTATCGCAACACTTTTCCCGTTCGAACAACATGAAAAAAAAGTTTTTCATAAGTCTGAAAAATGTTTTCGCTTCACGAAAAATAACCATTGTGTAACCGTAGTGAACGTAGAAAAACTTCTTACTGTAGTCAATTTTTCCTTTGAAACAGCTTGATATAGAACAATTTTCGCTAGTGGTCGCCTTCGATGATGACAGTATTGAGAAACTTTCTTATATAGAACTCGAGTTCTCTGCTTGAGAATTTGCCAGAAAATGTGGAACTTTTTAAGAAGGTTGCAAAAAGTTGTCGCTTCGCGAAAAATTTTTACAAGTTATGTCAGCAGAGAAAGATTAACATCAAATCTGACGCGAAGAAAAATTTTGCGTCCCTCAATCTTGACTTTCTCGGAACCCATCACCCTCTCCCCACCCCCCCCCCCCCCCCCCCCCCCCCCCAATCTTGGCACCCTCGCGCAGAGCCTGAAAATAATATTATCTTCGTTTTAAATCAACACTCATTCACACTCAACAACTAAATCACCAATGAGAGTGGAAAACACGTCTGTCTAAAGGAAACAAAGTGTATATGAAACAGCCGAGATTTATGTCCACGTTCAATGAAATCATTAAGGTCATATTTTATTTATGTGTACATCCTTTTCTATTTTTTATGTCTCATACTACGAAGAAAAAAGATGAATGTGTTTTGCATTCAGTTTCTGTAGATTTTAATGCAAATCGAACAAAAATAGGCAGGATTTCTGTCTCTTTTTCTTGAAAGAGCAATATTAGCACATAATGCTTGAACGTGTTTTGTATCATATCTATTTCAATTATTGATTAAACGATGATGTCAAAGATCTTGTTTGAATTTCTATTTCCAGAAAATTCCTAAACAAATCAATAGCGTAAAGTCAACCTGATTTGTTTTATTTGTCTCAAACGTGTGAATCTGATGAGGTTCGCAAAGAAAATTTTAGCCAAACATAATATCGGTTCCAGTTTTGCATGACTCTTAACTGATAATTTTCACGAGACATTTAATGAAAAATATTATTTTCCTCTGACTATGACAGTACTTAGAAAATATTTTTTAAAGTGTTGTATAAATAGACATGAGTTAGAAAATAAATAATAATGTATAAGAAATGTTACTCTTTCGTATGATTAATGACTAGAAAAAGATGTGATTCTTTGACAATCATCATGTACATAAAATAGAACTGCTTGATTTAAAAATTTATTTCTTGACAAATATTTTCCATTTTAAATTATCAAAACTTCGAAAGACGAAGTTCTTGAGGATGTGGATGAGGTCACATCCTCACCCTGCAATATGGATATCTCTCTATTCTGAACTGCGAGCACTTTTTTTCCGGTTTCATCTGCAGTGGCAAACCTTTTCAAAAGGTGGATGAATGTGTGTGAGACAGGAGATTATATGCGTACCAACTTCCTTCTTCGTTAAAAAAAAACAACTTTCAATTAGTATATAGGAGAAAATTTCTACAGTTGTTACAAAACAAGATTAAATTATAAAAATTTCTAGAAGACAGTTGTAGGTTGCAAAAATGTCGTGCGTTACAGTCCTTTATTCATCAAAACAATTGCCTTAATTTCGATCTGTTCAAAGCACTGACTCTAAAAACATGAAACAGTCATTATTTTACTACGAGTATTTTACAAAACTTAGATCTACACTAAAAGAACTGAATCAAGTTTTTATTCCAAAAATTATTCTTTAACCTGTTCTCATCATTTATTATTCTTAATTAGATCTTTACGTTCAACAAGATTTAACAAAAATAAAAACCAAAGAGCTTATATATATTTATGCTGTATTAAGAATGAAGACTAAAAATAAAAAAGTATAACAAATATAAAACTTTGAGAATACTCAATTAATATTTGCCTGAGAAACTTCACTAAATTTCAAATAGGTTTTGCTATGAAAAAGACAATTTCGAAAATAAGATAAATAATTAGAAAATTATTTCAATTATTAATTTCTCATTTAGATATTATCTTTTATAATATTCATAAAAGTGTAATTTCTGTTTATTATCCTCAATACTTATGAACAAAATTCAATCAGTCTGTGTATGTATTACATATCATCTTTGTTTTCTTCTTCAACATGACTTCGTCAGTAAATAATATAAATAAGAATCGGCGTGACTAGCAATCAAAATAATATTACAGATAAAACGAAGAATAAATGTTCATTTATAAATAAATTAGTCTATTATTCATTGGCCTAAAATTTTTTTCAGCGAGATTGTGCATTCATTTTATTATATGACACCGACTGGCATAAATAAACAATGAACGTACATATATATATTCATCATAAGAAAAGTATTAGTCGCAGTCAATATGAATCAATGTAACATTAATCTTCTTGATCTACCTACTGAAATATTACTTACTATTTTAAAAAAACTTGATAATATGGATGTTCTTTATTCATTGTTTGATGTTAATAATCAACGACTTGACAACATAATACAAGAAAATACTTTCACTAATACTCTCAATTTTGTATTAACAACATTAACTGATGATTTCTTATCGATATCTGATCCAATACTTGATCGATTTTGCACGAATATATTACCAAGAATTCATTATAATGTTAAATCTCTTACTCTTAACTCATTATCTATGGAACGTATTCTTCTTGTTGCTGACTATTCTAATTTATGTGAAATTAAAATCTTCAATTTTAATAGTAAAATTGCTTCACGTTATTTTACAGGTATATAACTTCTATACTGAACTGAATAAAAATTTTCGATAAAAAATTGTTGTATAGATAGACTAGATAATATCTATTTTTTATTTAGTTCAATCACCATGTCGACGTCTTTTTCAACGACAAATTATAGATCTTATTCTTGTATTTGAAAATTATTTTAATGAAATATCATGTAAACATTATACAACAGATGTATATGGATATATTTTAAAATTCTTCGAAAATCTAAAACATTTATCTATTATTGGATCATTTCCTAAGTATTTTCCATCTTTAGTACTTCGTAATTTACCTATAACTACTTGCTACTCTTCAACTCTTTCCAAATTATGTATTAATGTAATTTATTATGATGATTTACTTGCTTTACTTGATGGTCGTCTCAAACAATTACATACATTGCATGTTGTTATTATTAATCAGGGAATATAATTCAACGAATGTTTATAATATGGTAAGTTTAGACTTTATTTGATTAATCTTTTCAATTTAACAAAAAAAAATACTTTTGATCACAATCATAAATTGTTTTCATATTATTATTTCAAGATTTTTCTTGTTAATTAATTACTTTTTATTTGAATCAATTATAATTAAATAGTTGTAAAACAAATATTTGTCTAGTTGAAAGAAATAAATCAAATAATTGAGTTTCATTGAAATAAACAACATCGATATGTTTGAAGAATAAGATTGAAAATATTTATCTTGATTTAGTTAAAAGATATATCTAGTTTTGACAAATCAACAAAAGATCAAATTTATTTTTCTTGTTTTTAGTCATTTTCATTATTTTACAATAGAGAAAAACACAAGTAGAACGAATATTAAAAAGATAAAAAGGAGTACAGACAATAAACAAACTAAAAGGCATGTGAGTAATAAGTGACAAGTGATAAAGATTATTAAATATAGGAAAAGTTTGATCGAAGTAACTTTCATTTGTTATAATTTTGATTAGTTGTTCGATGAAGATTTTGATGATTTATATAATGGAAATAGTCACGTTGATCAGATGATATAACTTGTTTTCTATATAAATAATATTTTCCTCATATATATAATTCTAATGAATAATGTTGACCTAAAATTTTCGAGTTACTTTCGTATTTCTTATTTTTCATCTGTTGAATATTTCGAAATACAATATAATTATTTTAGTCATCATTGTAAAAGATATATTGGAGAAATATTTAAAACGAATAAAATACTAATAGAGCTACTTTTCAATCAATTATTTTGTGGGAACTTTTTCTGATTTAAATCAATAATAATACATTTATGAATATTGATTTATATTTTCTAGAATAATTTATCTGATTTGAAATATTTTTATTTACAATATGATTGTTTAACTGATACATATAATAATCAAATTTTATCTCTTTTACGTCGTATGTCAAATATAGAAGTATTAAATTTACATCTTACTATGGATAATCAAACTACATTTATTGATGGTAAACCCATTTATAATGAAATTATTGTTCATATGTCACGACTTCATACATTTAACTTTTGTTTTTGTACTTTCATTCCATTGGATCATTTAGTCGATCATTTATTTAAAGATGATATTCTACAAACTTTTCCTAGCATTATATATCAACAAGTGGACTGTATGATTGAGTATCAAGATGTTGATGTCAAATATCATGTATTTACATTGCCATTCATGTTTGATTATCTTGCTTATATTGATAATACATTTTCAAATATTATTTTCAATCATGTTATAAGATTGGTGATAGAGCATGAAATTTCATTGGAACATGAATTTTTCATGCGAATTGTGCGGTCTTTTCCTTTACTTAAAATATTACATGTTATTAATCTTATGCCACAGTCACCAATATCAAACGAATTAGACTCTAATGATAATGAATTGTATTCAACAATTATTAAATTTCCTTATCTTACTACACTTAATCTTCAATATGCTCATCGTGATTATATTGAACAATTTCTTAATGATAAAAAAACACATCTACCTCATCTAACCAAATTAACAGTTGGTTACTATGAATTAAAAACTGCCACGAGAAATTTTACAAACGATAGAACACGACTCAATTGTATGAAAGTAAAACAATTAAATATGAGTCCAAAAATGAGTATACATTCAGAAGATTTCTATGCTTATTTTCCTTCATTGTAATATTACTTTTTTTTTTGATTAACTTAATAAAGTGCATAATGAAAATATATTAATAGTATTTTTGCAATCAAAATATTATTGAAAGACATTTATTAATTACATAAGCTGATTAACTCGAGAGTTTTTTTTTCTGAAAAAAATATTCACAATGAGATTTCGAGCTGTGGTTGACTCAGACTCGCACATTTTCAAAACTCAGTCAGAGATACTACTAATATTTTCTATTCCCAGAGGCATGAAATAAAGCTGGAAGTGTTTCGATTAGAACAGAGGGTACCGGTTTAACTACACATGTTCACGAATGAAAATCTAAAAAATCACGTCTTAGAATGCATGATGCCGTACATCAAATCAAAATCAAATGTGCTCTATAAGAAGATTCAGTGAGATAGAGCTTATTTCGGTGCACACTTTTGAAATGAAGAAATTGAACTAATTAGAACTTCAGATTCTCATGAACCATTTACTCAGTGATTCCAACTTCAGCTTCTCAAAACATATCGATCTACTGATATTTTAACTTTCAGATGCTTGGCTTTAGGGAAAGTGCTGGGCGCCCTAGACAACGGTCGTGTTTTGTATAGACTTTGTATTTGCGACAGACATCGTCTCCGACGAATTTCGAATGATAGATCCATTTATATTGCAATATAAAAAGACTCTTAGACAACTTCTGGTGTAAGTCCTTCAACTAAAGAACTTAGTTCTAAGAATAGTAGAAAACTTGGTTGGTTCTAATGGAAATTTTCTTTTTACAGTATTGATTTTGAGCTGACCGCGGAATTTACATAATTTATAAGACTTCATATTCGTGTTCGTGAAATAACTTGAACGCTTGGACGAGAACTGGCCAGTATGTTGTTTTTAGAAACTTTCGTGCGTTTGAGTAGACGCTGTAGCCTTCTTTCTTTCTTTCTTCAGGCAGTTATTTAGCTAAGCATGCAGGCTCACAAGTATAGACTGCAGATTTCAATCAATTTTCAGCATGGAAACAGCAAAATACTTATCTGACTGATGTCAAATCGAAAAAGTTTAAGGATTGCACTACCATGAGAAGAAATCAACTGTACAATCATTATTTCAAATCAAATGATAATCTGATCTCATCCTAAGTAAAATTGAAAATGAAATAAATGAGATTAATGGCCGTAAAATCAGTCTACAATGATCTGCGACGAACTGGATCTCGTTGTAGTGACACATTGGAATATTAGGCTCATCCGAAATACTAAAATTTCTCGCATTTTTCTGTGAGGATGATGCCAAAGATTTATTGAAATTTGTCGAGTTTGTTCGAATTTTTCTCTCCCAACATGTATCACAACGAGCACATCCGTGTGAAAGTGATTTTTTCATAAACTTCGGTGTTTTTTGCTAATTTACACTGGGATTTCAACAAAATGGTGAAAAACTAGTTGATATTTTTTCTAATTCACTTCGGTTTTAGTGCAAAAGACATAAAGAATAAATGAATTTTTCGGAAGAGCCAAAATAATTCTAGGATGGGTTGAGCCCACCAGAACCCATCTGGTTTTACGGCATTAATATGTTTGATATTTGATTGAGATAATCCACGTATTAATGAACGTAATTTATTAACACAAATCCAATCAATATGTTCTAAATTAGAACTTAATAAATTGAGATTCGTTTTCATATAACATTCATTTGATTGACTATCGGTATACAATTTTAGAACATTTAATATATCATCCAAGGGGGAAAAAGCGGATCCCGGGATCCAATGGGATCCAACGGGATCCAGTGGGATCCAGTGGGAACCACGGGATCCAGTGGGATCCAGTGGGATCCAGTGGGAACCACGGGATCCAGTGGGATCCAGTGGGATCCAGTGGGAACCACGGGATCCAGTGGGATCCAGTGGGATCCAGCGGGATCCAGTGGGATCCAGCGGGATCCAGTGGGATCCACTTGAATCTATTTGGATTCAGTGTGATCCATTAGCTTCCATCAGGAGCAGGCATGCAGTGAGACGAAGACTGTCTGCCTGAGCTGTTTCCATCTGTTTTTTTGGGTCGACTGAAATACTCATGTTTCACTACCTTTCGACATCAAGCAAGATCGAACGTAAAATAGAATAAGACCTAACGGTTATTGAACATCGGGTCATCGAATCGATTTGATCGTTTTATGCTCAATAACTTTCAAGCTATTTCTATATATTTTAGATGTTATCTCACCTGATATTCGAAGAAAGTGAGAGATGAGATTTTTTTCCTGAAAACGAGAAAAAGAAGCCAAGTCTGGGCATGTATACATAATCAGATCAACTGGGTAACTGTGGGTTTCAATAGGATTAACTGGCATTAGAAATAAGCGGCCCCAATCGCCGTCTCCGATGTATGTGAAGAATATAATGGTTTGAAATCGATTATGAACAAGCCAAAGTTCCATACAGTTTGATGGAAAATACATTTCTGCATCGACTGGAATCAAAGTCAGCTTGCCTGTAATTAATTTTGAGCCATAATATTCTTCATATCCATTGGCATTCATTGGGATCCATTTAGGATCCTGGGATCCAGCAGAATCCATTAGGATCTATGGAATCCTGGTATCTGGGATCCGCTTTTCCCCACTTGCATAAATACTATCTAATTGGTCTGAACCAAAACCTTAGTCCATTTTAACTTCTCTCAACATCAACTCTGATTGAATAATGGGAGATGTGTTGATGAACTACTCCATCCTTCCCATTTTCTTTTATTAGACTAAAATTTCACTTTTATATGTTATATGTAATTCCAATTACCTACCACGTTTTAGCCTTTTTCTTGACAGTAACAAACTTTTGAACAACTTTCTACAAGATGATAATAATTCCGAGAATCTGTCTCGTGCAGCAGACATTAACAGGAAAAAATGACAAGAGTAACTAGTGGAAAATAATATCGCTTAACTACCTCACCCTTAATCGATGCATGTGCGAGTTGAGCGAGTGAAATTGAAAGTTAATATAATCTCAGAAACATTTAAAAACATCCATTGGGATCTACCGGGATCCACTGGGATCCACTGGGATCCACTGGGATCCACTGGGATCCATTGGGACCCACTGGGATCCATTGGGATCCATTGGGATCCATTGGGATCCATTGGGATCCACGGGATCCAGCGGGATCCAGTGGGATCCACGGGATCCACGGGATCCAGTGGGATCCGTCGGGATCCGGGATCCGGGATCCGCTTTTTCCCCCTTGATATCATCTGTTAGTTGATATTCATTGATGGTAGATGAATAAAGTTGTTTAAAATATGAACTATACGGATTTTTTTAAAATAATTTACAATTAAGTATATTGTTCGTGTAATTATAATAAAAATAATGTGTTTGAAGATCTATTGTTAAGGAAGCAAGATCTCTTGATAGATAAATATTAGTTTGAGCATTGAAAACACATTCCATTTTGTGTGTCATATATCGGCAAAAGCAGAAAAATAAAGAGAATAAAAATGCAAAATGTAATTGCATCAAAGTTTTGAAAGAAAAGAAAAAAGACAAGATGATTATGACTCATAATTCATCATCCAACAAAGTTAATAGATGAATAATTTCTTTAAATTAAGTCATTATAACAATATCCATGCTCCAAAAACTGGCAATTCGAAGAAATTCAAGCAGCAGACTATTCAGCAAGGAGAAAACAGTAGACTTCACCAAACTTCAAGAGATTTTAGAAGATTTATTGGATCTCAATAGACTTCAAGACTAAAGTCTCTACTGTTTTTCCTTGTTCTATAGTATTGAATTCAATGTAAATAAAGAAAATTCAAGAAGAAAGCAAGGCGATGAAGGTAAAGACGAAAAGTATTTGATCATATCTCAAGGCATGCGGATTTGAAGGATAACCATCTAACTATATAGATGACCGTCTTCTTCATTTACTTGATTTTCTTGAATTTTATGCTGATTGACCAGTGCATATACTACTAGAAAATAGTTAAAGTCTATAGTTGAAATATATCGTCATTATAAAAACATATTTCTTGCTAAAACATAATTATACACTCTGAAAGTTCTTGAAGTATTCTATGAACCTGTATATTTATGGCTTAATCTGCGACTATTTACTGAAAAACAAATCCAGCACAATAAATGCATTCTAGCGTGGACAGGATGAGACTCAATATAAATATTACATCAACATCACTATGCACCGAACCCGAACTCAAGTTCGGACAATATCCAACGAACTGAGATGGTTCCGAGTATTTGGCTGGTTATTCCAGCGTTTCATGAAGCATACAGACGATCATGACGATACTCTAAGGGTTAGTCACGTGGGTGTGGACGCTGTTCATATTGTTTCTTATAAATCTACACCCACCCACACCACACTCACACCCACACCCACACCCTACACCCTTTTTTTATTGTTTTGTCGGTTTCAATAGAAAAAAGATTCAGCCATGTTGGTAAGCGTAATAGAAATATAGTTCGGATGAATCTTAAAATAATTCTTTTCTAGTATTAATAGGTTTAAAAGATCTTGTTCTCAGCTCTATCATATCATTATTAATTATCTTTTCAGTCAGATTTCATAACAACTATTTGTAGTTTTATACAATACAAATTAGTAAAGACTGGAAAGAAGTTGTCGATTTTTGTCAACAATTTTACAAGTAGACAACATTCATTTGTCTTACTAGTTTAATAGAAAAATCTTCCATAATAAAAAAAATCGATGTTTATTTTCAACGAAGGAAACACCAAGTTCACCTCCTCACGGTGTTTTCTGTTTTATCTCAACGGACTTCTGCAAATCTCTCATAATGTACACAACGAAAAGTCTTTGTACCTCGTCCAGAAGTGGACTGCTGGTGCACGTTCCTGGAGTCAGACCTCAGAACGGAGCTCAAATGCGAGCACCTAGTCATCGATCGAACCCTGCCACAAGTAGATCGACCGGGATTAACCTGCACAAGATAGGTGTGGGTGTTGATCTTATTTTCATCATACCCACACCCAGAAGAGTCTTCTGATGGATCCTCTCTTAATTCTAAGTCGCGTAAGTTCAAATATATCGAAGAATGACTTCGATAACTCTTTTGTTGCGAAAAGTATTTTCCTCGTCGAGATCTGAGTGAAAGTAGATAGGGTCAGAGTGAACCTATCCAAATGATATTTGATTTTTTTTATCAAAAGCTTTTATAATAGGATGGCTTGGTGTGAGGTCTCATGGATGGAAACTTTGAAGGTTTATCGATTGATACTATCTTTGAGTCAAACGGCGCTTGAAGTGGGTTCGAGCGTGTTTTACTGATATCCAAAAGGATGTACAGATATCAGGTATATTTAAAAAAAAGGCTAAAAAGTCGTATAGAAAAGATGTAAACCTAAACAAACTAAGAAAGTTTGGACATTTTTTTAATCATTTCCAATTGAAACGATAAACCGGATGGACTCCTTGTGTTGTTCACTATGACTCATAGAGTAAGCATAGTCTTGATTAAAAAAAGCGATTTTGTATCAGGAGAGATTCTCTGGTAAGTGTTTCAGAGTACGAAATTTGTCAAAAGCAGTGACCTCTGTCACAATCGACAGAAGAGATCACGTCGTGGCTCACATATGATGCCTGCTAAATAATAATATTCATTACTTGCAAATAATTGATACCATATGGTTATATAATATATTTGTGCTCATTTGTATTGTTACCCATTCTGTTGTTGGTTCTCTTTCATGTTGTATTATCAAAGATTTAAAGTGTTCACCGTAATAACGAATAAAACTGTTTAAATCATTATCACTAGGCATTTTCAAACGAAATACTGTAACATTAGTGTCTAGTTTGCGTCGAAATGTTGCACCTGTTTGATCGATGTTTAATCCACTTAAATTTATAAGAGTTTGTTCGACAGCTATGCCTATAACAACTTCGTTCATATCAACTTGCAGCACTCGTTGAAATTTGTCCATTAGTTCATTGTGGCTTCTGGTTATATTTTCGACCTGATATTGTAGTCTCGTCAGTGAACGTCTCAATTGAGGAAATGTTGGTCGTTCATGTGCATTGAAAGTCATCGTAGTCAAAATTACGGACCATGTTTCATCGCTGCACATTATCGGTTTTGACAATTTTTCACCCGTAATCACGCGTTGACAAATTTCTTGGTCCATCTGAATGTGAGACCATGGTATATTCGCTTTTGAAAAGGCTTCCCACATAGTTACACCCATCGAATAAATGTCTGATTTTTCAGAACATTCCTGATGTTGAATTAATTCCGGTGATGCATAACGTATTGGAATGCAATCATTTACCATTGATTGATTATTAACTGATAAGTATATAGAACTATGTCGAGTAAGACCAAAATCAGTCAATTTAACAAGATTATCTTCAGGTTTATATTTGTTGAAACGAAACACTAGTATATTTCTACATGCTAGATCTCCATGAGTTACACGATTATATGCAAGATAAGCCATTGCATCTGTTATTTGTGAAAACATCTCAATTAAAATCATTTCGTCTGGAACTCTTGGTTGATCATCAAGTAGATCATGAAGACTTCCTTCTGGAGCATATTCTTGAAGTAACATAACCGAATCTTGAGGCGTTGGTTCGATCATCCCATATGTTCGTATAATGTGTGGATGACGGCTCAACTGTACGCAAAATGATGCTTCTCTTTTTGCTCGTACACCATTCATTTTCAATAATATTGTTGGTGGAGCATTTCGACGTGTTATCCAATGAGCACGAAATATAGATTTAGTGTTTACCTGAAATATTGCACGACCTTCTTTTCGTACGTCAACGTCTAATTTAAAACGATAATCAGCGGAACGTAATGAATTTTCGAATTCTTCGATTAAACTTTTAATAATACGATTGGGACGTAAACTGTCAACAGATAAATTTTGTCGTGTCATTGGACTTGTATGATTTTCTTGAATCCACGCAATAATCGCAGATTCTTCATATGTGTAGCCATCATCAGCAAGTACTGGAACTGAGAACAATTCTTTTGTTATAGGACAAACTAGAGAATCAGCCATTTGATGCTCTGTACAATCCGTCATATTGTTTCTATTGATAGACTGAAATCGAAAGTAAGTTGGTTAACAATAAATGCAAGCTTCCATTTTTCGTGTATTGCATTTTTTTTTCATTCTTTGCATGTCGATGACGAACGAGTGAAAGAAAAAAAAAGGAATGAAAATGCCTTCTGTAAGCCTTTTTCTTTCATATTCTTATCGTTTAAAATAAATATCATTTAAACTTTCATGTCACTACCTATGATGATAATAGCCTAGTTTCCACCTGGAACTCCTGCGGACTTCGCGCTGACAAACAAAGAACAGTAGATGAAATTACGATTGAGGTGTATAAGAACCATAATAACCTCACAAAGGATACTAACACAAGAAGGACCAGCATGAGAACAGCTTATTTAAGCTATGTTTATTAGTCTTTCTTTCTTTACCTTCCCTTCTCTTTTTCATTCCTGGTAAGAAAAAAGAATGATCAACAACTCGTTTTCATGACTCAATGTAAACCATTTATTAGTTTGATATTTGCTTCGTGACATAAAACTTGAAAGAGTGAATTGTGCCGTACTCGTGGCATTATTTTCTGTTGTTGTTTCTTTCTACAAATGAGTCGACACATTTCTGTTTGAAGAGATATTTTTTGAATAAATGCAATTCTAATTATTTGTCGATTTCAATCTTCAGTGTACCATCAGAAAGAGTACCAGTAGGATATGAGTATGGGTATTCGAGTGAAGAGAAGATCCACACCAATACAAAGATGCTACGTATATGAGATTGTAGTTCATTAAAAAGGGTGTGGGTGTGTGGGTGTGGGTGTGGTGTGGGTGTGGGTGTGTGGGTGTGGGTGTGGGTGTGGGTGGGTGTGGATGTTGGCGAAAGAATAGTCATACCCACACCCACACCACACACCCACACCCACACCCACACCCACACCCACACCCACACCCACACCCACACCCATACCCTTGGCATATTCGTACTCGTTCAGCTTTTTGAGAGTTAGTCAGACGTTTGGCAACATAATGTGCAGTGATTTTTTTCAACTGCAGATGATCAAAAACAATTCGTTGACTAGTGCCATCGCTTAGACCACTTTGTGCTTCAAGTTCGTCAATTGTAACATAAGGATTATCATCAATAAGATCGCGAACTTGTTCAATATTTTCAGATGTTGTCTCCGTGATAGGTCTGCCAGATCTGTCTTCATCTTCAACTTTTTCTCGACCTTCACGAAACCATTTTGATCATCTTTCAACAGTTCTGAAAGGGGGACCTTCATCATCAAAGACAGTATATAATTCATTATGAATAACTATTGGTTCAATATGAAGTGCAGTACGCACTTTAATTTAGAAACGAAACTGTTCTTTTTCCATTTGAAGATAAGTGAACAGTTTTGAGCGTATTATGATCTACGTTGGAAACACTGTGCTATATTGTTTTGGATGTGTTATTTCTGTTCTCCTCTTTTTTTTTCTTTTTTTTTTCTCCTCCCTTTTCTTTCTTTTCTTTACCTTTTCAACTTCTCCGGTATCTAGCCGCGTTTGTACATATAAAACACACGTGTTTTGTTTTTTTTTTTCTGTATGTGTAGTTAGTCCTTGTTTATTCTTAAAGTGAAAAGTTATAAAAGTTACAGTAAACTTTAGTACATCAAAATTTTTTCTAATATAATATCACTTGAAGATTTATCAAATACAGTAGAATTATAGAGCTGAACTTAGGCTATCAGAATATATAGAAAAAAAATTTCTCAAGCCTTCTGTAAAATATTATGGGGTCGGCACCACTACTTTTGGTATGCCCTAAATATAACGAAAGATAGAATAATAACAAGTTATTATCTGTCTAGGTTCAACAGAATATACTCAGATAGAAGAAAACTGAAAACAAAAATCATCCACAGACTGTTTATGTACATATTGTACGACGTTACCAATAGAAATCAACCAACGTAAAAGTAGTGCAGCTGGTTTTATTCCTTTCTCCGCATAAGTAATTGCTCAACAATAAAAACTTTATGAAGTGAGAGAAAAAGAAACTTTATACTCACATTCTACATCACGAACATACATTTCAACAATTTTCATTTATGTCCGACACAATTCCATCATCTCTCCTTACATTACCCGTAGAGCTTGTCTACCGAATTCTTGATCAACTGGATGATTTCAGTCTGTTATGTTCAATAACAAATGTTTGCATACGAATCAACACCATAGTGGACACCTATCATCGATATCTGGTGAATTTCTTCTTTCTCTCAATACATCTGATAATAATAAAAAG